AGCTGAAAGCACCTTACAGACACTGCCAAAATCTGCTTTCAGACTCTGCCAACAGCCAACCTTCGTTTTTTTCTTTATCTACCTTAAATCACTGTTCTTTGTAGAACCTTCATTGACAGTAACTCTTCTTTTCTGTTGCCTAACATAAGCTGGTTTCTCTCTGTCTTTTTCATGCAAACCATGCTTTATTGTTAGCTTTTCTGGGGCTCCTCAGGGGAGATGCTGAAAAAGAAATGGAAAATGGCAGGAAAGAGTGACGTTTTTCATGGTATTAATTTTCATTTTTTTAAAAAAGGAAGTGATAAATATAATGTGAATTAGCCATTCACATATGAATAAGGGAAAATACAATTCATGGTTTTAGATATTATATCAGATATATCATGTATGATGGCTGCCAAAAAAAGGAAAGTAATTTTAAAGTGGAACACAATCCTGCACATTGTTAGTAGATAAAGTTTCAATGAATTTAATTTATTAATACTTTGGGATCCCTGGCAGGTTGATGGGTGCTAAACAGATAATAATAAGTAAAATAGCTACCATATGCCTGTTACTTCCAAGTTGTGTTTCTTGATATTGCAGATAAAAAACAACACATACACACATATTGTCAGGTAGCCCTTTTTTCATTCCTTAATACTATTGTTTCTTTTTTCCTTTTCAGGTGAGGAAAAGAGAGAGAGTGAAGTGTCAGGAAAACATGGATTATAGAAGTATTGTCACATTAGGATCCCGTGTAGCACCTTTAAGACTAACTGGTTTATATTTTTCTTCAAATATACACTTCAGATGACTGGAGTAGCTGTTCTCTGGGGGAAGTTTAAAACTGTTGGCAGGAAGGAAGATTTAGGGGAAGATCACAATAGGGTGTGTTAATTTTAGGTGAAGAAGACCTTTAACAGAGTAGGCATATCAGACCAAAAAAGAGCAACAAAACCATTGTGAATTCTTAAAGGGTTGCAGTGATTAATTCCATCATAGTGCTTGTTAGTGATTGGGGTCTCTGAGCTAAGAGAAAGTGTGTCCACTGAGGGTGAAATGTTCAGTCATTGATTTATGGGTATTTATATTTCTGATGTCTGTTTTGTGTCCATTTCCTTTCTTAGTAGAACTTGGCCTGTTTGTCCAATATAAAATGCAGTGAGGCATTACTGATAAAAGATGACATATATCACACTGATATTGTGGATTATGTTATTTGGTACTCTAATGGTATTTCCTGTGGGGCAGGCGCTGGCATCTGTGTTTGCTCCAAAGCTTTTCCCTATATCAGTGTCTCTGGTGGACAGACTTTATTGCCAGTTAGAATTCTCTTTAGAATTTAATTAGAATTCTATTTAGGTTGGAATTACAGTAGTTTGGGATGGTGTGGGGGACAGTCACAGAATAATTAGCAAATCCTTTGTTTGGAGTTTGGTATGGAAAAACCCAGCCATACTACAAGGGAAGATGCTTGAAACCATACTTGCCAGCTGATCTTAACTCACCTCATTCAAGCAGACCCAGCATGGATATCTACTACAAATTTTTGAGACTTTGATCTGCATTTTTATGCACTGTTCATGGAGGGATAGTGCACAAAAGAAGTGAGATTTTGCTCACAAAAGCTGTCAATTTGTGTGATTTTTTTAAATTAGTTAAATAAAGGTATCACTCTACTCATACATTTTTGTAATTTGAACAACACTGTCTTTTTCTAATTATTTTGGTTGAGTGGTTGTCTGTATGTTGTAGATTGTCTCTCTAGCCCACAACAAAGGTAATGGTGTGTGTGTGTGTGTGTGTGTGTGTGTGTGTGTGTGTGTGTGTGTGTGAATCCAATCACCTTGGCCTTTGACACTACCATTGTGATGGAATTAATCACCATCACAGATGGTGTTAAAGATCTTCACCCAGGAATAGCACACCCTCTTGTTGTCCTCCCATGACACACTCTCCCTGCCAACAGTTTTAAACTCCCTTCAAAGACAGGCACTTTATTCATCTGAAGAAATATGCTTGGACACACGAAAGTTTATGAAAAATTAAAAACTGGTTAGTTTTAAAGCTGCTACAAGACTTCTGGTGTCTCTTGTACTACAACAGCTGTAACATATCTACCAGCTAGATTAGGATCCCCTGTTAATGGAGGATAACTGTCCAATGAAATCCTAATTTAGAATCACAAAGTGACTGGAGAGTAGTTGTTTCAGAATAAACAGCTCCCAGAATTCCCTAGTTAGGATGACCATTGGCCAGGCTGGCCATTGTGAGTGTGGGCTTTGCCATACAAGCAAGTAACTTTGCCAAGGTCTGTATGGATGTACAGTGGACCCTCGACTTATGGAGTTAATCCATATTGGAATGGTGGCTGCAGGTCGAAAAGTCCATAGGTTGAGGGTCCCTTTCCCATAGGAATGTATTGAAAACCCATTAATTTGAATTTGGTGTTTTCCCTGCCTCTCCCTTCCGGTCCGTAGGTCGATTCTCTGGCCGCAAGTCAAAGTGAAATGTTGCGGCCGGAGAAGTCCGTAACTCGAAAAGTACGCACGTGGAGCCGTGCATAAGTCAAGGGTCCACTGTATATATCTTGCCTGTCCTCCCCTTGGGGAGGAAAGTCCTGCAGATGCTCAAGTTTTAATAGCACCGGGCACTGACGGGATGATTCCTGAATTAAATTAATAAGGGACTTCATTACAACTCTTGTCTGTATTTACTGCACTATAGCTGTGTTTCTCCAGAACAATTTTTAACCCAAGTTATATGTGAATAAAGAGAGTGAAACAGCATGTTTGAGTCTGCTTCAGTTCTCCTGAGGTTGCTCTTAGAGCACTCAAAATGTAGTACACAACAGGAGGCAAGAAGATTCAGGGCAGCTGTTCTTAAACTGTGATCATCTGGTACCTCAGTTAGTATTATCTAATTTAAGCATTATATTACAGTACTCTGATCTTTATTTCAACAGCTATTTGATCAGGTACTCACAATATGTTATATATGGCCAGTCCCTAACAATAAAGGGCCCTTGTAGCTTACATGGAGATACTTCAAAGTGGACACATGTTTTATTGATGAAAAGCAGGTATCACCCCAAGAAAGAAAAAGCTACATGATATCCGATGCTATCCTTTCTAACATGTACACGTTTTAGCGTGAGAGAAGCATGGAAAAACATGCATTTTTCATTATGAAAACAATACAATAATATTAGCTTTCTGGTTGTGAACACTGTGCCCACAAAAATACAATCACAATATAAACCAATCTTTTACTTCCCTTTTGATTTTGTGACAGTATATAGTTGTTCCTGCATGTTCATGGTAATTTTAGGTTATAGTTCTTTCTGAAAAGGTGTATATGCCTAGCTGTTACTGGTGTCTAAGTAGATATAGTCAAGGGTTTTGAGTTGTGACTGAAAATGAGGAATTTGGAAGCGGGGTGGTGAAAAACTGAAAAATATAAAAGCATAATGTGGGCGTAAACAAAAAGAGGTCTTATTTATTCTGGAATATTTGCATAATAATAACTTTTTGAAATTAAATAATAAACACGTATGTAAAAGGTCCAACACCAGTATTTAATGTATAAATGTTTCTAGATTCCATGCTGTAAGATGACATTAAACACAGCAAGATAAAGAACAGTTGGTCATACACCCACCTAGCGGATTCTTCAAAAAATCCTATATCATTTAAGCCTTTCCCTATTAGTACTTTCCAAACACTGTAAAACATTGAGACAGCTGTGTCTTCAAAATGCAATTCTTACAGACATTTTGGAACTCTAATACAAGACTGATGTTTTCTCATAAAAAAACTTGGCTTGGTACACTAGCAATTTAGCCCCCTATAAATTAGGAAAGTTATTAACCAACTGCATATTAATGAAAACTATGTACAATAATACAAACTTGATAGCAGTAACAGTCAGGTAAAGTAGAATTCAGCTTCATTTGCATAAAATGAACTTAGCTGTCTGAAACTGAAATGAAATCTAAAGAGGGCATTCTTAAATGTCACAGCTCTCAAATCTGCTCTGTAACAGGCTGGAAATATGGGAATCATGCAGATATTCCATTTACCTCATTGGGAATTTTCTGCAATTATTAAAGTATCAAATCAGTTCAATGGGACTAGGATGTTTCTTCTCTGTATTTGTTTTCCTCTGTACAGAATAAAGGATTTGACTTAGCCCAGTCAATGCATCAGAATTTATTTTCTGCTATTTTGTAGAAAATGCATCTGGGCCATCATTACAGTAAAATGTTTTTGCCTACATTTGTCACACATTTTTAATACAATATAAACAGCCAGTTTTAATAATTTTTTAGAACAGCGCTCTCCTTTTCAGGTTTAGGTTTAAAAATAATGAAAGTTTTGCATTTGATAAATCCATTTGTATGTTAGACTCAATTTATGCCTGATAAGAAAGATGTTTCAATACTGACACAATAAGCAAAATCCTATTGTGCAACTTTGTACCCAATGCAATTCTCATCAGGTGCAAGAAGTGTTTAATTTACAATAATTAAAAGCTTCCTTCACCCTTGTTCTAGATTCCAAAGGTTCCTTTTGCCCTGGGAAGCTTTTAAAAATCACATTTGGATTGCCACTGGTAGGATCAGGATAGCTGCTGCCACTCAGAGTAGCAATTTTTGGCTTTTAAATTCTTTCCCTATTGTCCTGAAGCTCCCAAAGTCTTCCCTTGGCAAAATGCACCCCAAGGTAGTCTCAGAACCTAATATGGGGTATATGAAGCTATTAATTAGTGTAACGTGAAGGTTTCTAGTGTCTGATCTTAGTTGTGCTGATGAAAAGTTACACAATAGATTTTTGTGAATGTTTTTATACTCTGTAACCAGAAAATCTAATAATATTGGAAAATAAAACTGTGGCAAACTGTAATATTCCAACATACTACATTTCTATTGCGTGATGAAACATCCTTATGGCATTTTGAAATCATCTGGACATCCTATGTGCTTAATTTAGTTTTTCTTTTTTATTTGTCATTCTCAGGTAGAGATTGAAAAGTTGGACTATCATCACTATTTGCCACTGTTTTTCGATGGTCTGTGTGAAATGCAATTTCCCTATGAATTCTTTGCTCGGCAAGGCATCCATGATATGCTGGAGCATGGGGGTAACAAGATTCTTCCTGTCATTCCTCAGCTCATTATTCCAATAAAAAGTAAGTGTGCATATGGGGGAAAGTTGACACTGAAGTTACATGGGGTGTCATTTTTGACAAGTTGCTAATTAAGCAATAACCCATGGCAGACTTTGCAGCAGAAGACGGCAGCTCTGAGTCAATTGTAGAGTAGAAGACCAGGAGCCTTCTGCCATCTGTCACACATTTGGTGGCCTAGACTCATAAAATTGTACTGGCATGTCTTCTACTTATTATAATGTTGATCTTGGTATATAAGAAGTTAAATTAATAATTTTATTCCAATTTTTGCTTTTTGCACTGTCAAGCTATCATGTGAAAACCACACAGAAAGAGAGGTGGAAAATGTTACAAAATAGTTTTGTGGTGGAATCAACTTTGGTGTTTTTTTTCCAGGGAGGGCATCTATTATTAAGCACTTTAGTAATTTTTCTTGCTAACCTCATGTCTTCATCAGCATAATAAGATACACATTATGCATTAAACGATGCATGAACTCTATGCCCACAGGTTTCCTCTTTGCAGCACTCTTCCCTTCTCAGTGTGCTGCAGTTCAACATTCCTTCGGCTAACTTAAACAAACTACAGTTTCTTTTTACTTCTCAATCTATAAACTGTGGCTACCAAGCAACAGCATTTTTAACCATATGTTCGTAAATTGCCCCCCTTCCATACATACCACAACCCCTTTCCCTACTTTTGCCTGATTCATGAAAGAAAAGTTGACGTTTTAATTATGAAATTTCAGAATTTGACATTTTTGTATTTATGTGGGAATGCTGTAAACACCAGTAACCGATTGACATTAATTAAAAAACTCTGCTTTCAGTTCAGGGTGAGCCATGACTTCATCACATTGATGCAAGTTGTGTGTACCCCAAAATCAATAAAGGAACTCTTCAGTGGTGAAGTCACTCCCTGTGCACCATAAGAGCTCCACAAGAAGAACCGGGTCAATAATTTTCTGTTATTCTCTGAAACACCTTCCTCTTTTTGCTCTTTTGGTTCAATATAACATTAAGTCTTAAGAAGGCTCCTACAAAACATGGTAACTGCTTAAATATTCATGTGATATGCCTAATAAATTATTATCTTAGTGAAGGTTTGATTTTTTTAAAGTTTAATGGGCTAACATGGGTGTAAATGGTTTGTCAACAGAACAAATCATTTTCATGCTTCCTTACAGTCTTTTTCATAGCAAAATCATGACTTATCTCTCCAAAAGAAATGTATTTTGCATGTCCCCACTAATAGACAACGTATCTACCATCTAAACAATTTTTGCCCCACAGTAGAATGGCTGCGTTGTTGGAAGGTTGCTGATTTGCACAATCCCCACACCTTCATTTCAAAGATTAAATCGGATACTGCAGTACTATTCTTTTCTATTTTAACTATAACTTTCATCTGTGCATTGTAGTGCTAACAGTGTTCTCATCTATATTCTCCAAGCAGTATGACTGGAGTTGTGTGATGAACTCTGTAGTTTTTCTTCCTCATCGGTTGCTATAGACTCAGGGCCCCGCTAGACAAGAGATTTTGTATATACAAGCAGTACACTTTTAAGAGGAAATAGCCTGTTGATTCTGTGAGAATTTATCACAAGTTGTTAAATTTGGACATAGGATGGCTTTGTTTGCATCTCAGGCATACAGCTTCAAAAGATTTGTGTTACATGGAGAGGTGATATTATAAGAGGAAATAACATTTTTGTCTTAACGTATGGCCTGATCCTTAGTCTCTACACTGAAATAATAATCTTGATTTTGTTCTCTTACTTCTTTAGCTCATGACTTTCTTGATAAAGACTACAGAAATACCTTGTCTGTTTTGAAAGCAAGGAATATCAACTTATGTACCTTTGCTTCTTCTCCTTTTACTTTACCTCACTAAATTTATTGCTTGAAAGTTGGGTTTATAATTAGCCATGGCAGTATTGTATGTGTGTGTTGTTCTGAGCACATTAAAAATCTATTTACATTAATTTGGGGTCTGCACATTTCAATCACTGTTCCTGAAATAAATGGTTTGTATGCAAATCTTCCTGTATATATAAACAGTAACAAGTTCCAACATGGCTGCCAAAGAGAAAGATTTTCCAAAAAGTAAACATTTTCATATTCTGTGCCTGCCTACCTGAAATTGGTGACCACTAAAACACAAACAGACATTACAGATAACCTCTAATTAGAGCTGGAACACATTAATGTTGCAGAAGGATGGTTATGGTAGAGTTCCTGTGTTTGTGTAATTAGACTTCAGAAGTTCTAAATTTGTTGTTGTTTAGTCATTAAGTCATGTTCAAGTCTTCGTGACCCCATGGACCAGAGCACGCCAAGCCCTCCTGTCTTCCACTGCCTCCCGGAATTGGGTCAAATTCATGTTGGTTGCTTTGATGACACTGTCCATCCATCTCATCCTCTGTCGTCCCCTTCTCCTCTTGCCTTCACACTTTCCCAATATCAGAGTCTTTTCCAGGGAGTCTTCTCATGAGATGGCCAAAGTATTGGAACCTCAGTTTCAGGATCTGTCCTTCCAGTGAACACTCAGGGGTGATTTCCTTTAGAATTGATAGGTTTGTTCTCTTTGCAGTCCAGGGGACTCTCAAGAGTCTCCTCCAGCACCATTCAAAGGCATCAATTCTTCGGCAGTCAGCCTTCTTTATGGTCCAGCTCTCACTTCCATACATCACTACTGGAAAAACCATAACGTTGACTATGCGGACCTTTGTCAGCAAGGTAATGTCTCTGCTTTTTGAGATGTTGTCTAGGTTTGTCATTACTTTCCTCCCAAGAAGCAGGCGTCTTTTAATTTTGTGGCTGCTGTCACCATCTGCAGTGATCAAGGAGCCCAAGAAAGTAAAATGTATCACCGTCTCCATATCTTCCCCTTCTATTTGCCATGACCAGTGGTCATGATCTTAGGGTTATTTTTAATGTTGCGCTTCAGACCATTTTTGGTGCTCTCCTCTTTCACCCTCATTAAGAGGTTCTTTAATTCCTCCTCACTTTGTGACATAAGAGTGGTATTATCTGTATATCGGAGGTTGTTGATATTTCTTCCAGCAATCTTAATTCCAGCTTGGGATTCATCCAGTCCAGCTTTTCACTTTATGTCTTCTGCATATAAGTTAAATAAGCAGAGAGACAATATACAGCCTTGTTGTTCTCCTTTCCCAATTTTGAACCAATCAGTTGTTCAATATCCAGTTCTAACTCTTGCTTCCTGTTCCACATATAGATTATTCCAGTATTTTTGTTGCAGATATGAATAGAACATTTTGATGTCTGCATTCACACATTGGGAGGATATTTGCTGCTTGATGTACTGGCATGCACAGGATTGTCTGTACACGAACATTTGGATTTGCTCATTAAGGACTGACTCCCAACACAGTCTGCCATGCATTTTTTGTCAATTGTCTCTGCCCTCTCTTAGCCTATTACACTCTTTCCTACCTTCCTTCCTTGTTTTACCAACCATTATGCATAAAGTGTGGAGAAGGACCAGCAGAAAAATGCTGCCTAATAAGGTTCTTTTGGATTCTGAAACCATCAATACACCAATGTGGGAATGTTAACAACTTAAAGAGAATGTAGAGAAGAAAACATAGACAGTAAAGTAGCAAAATAGATGGCAACCTCACAGTCCTTCTGAGTACCTGAAGAACAAGGAGTGGTCAACTCCTAGAATCATTTCGTTGTACAGAACCTCTTGGAATCAAAGTCTACAGTAAGACTTATTGAATCAAGGCATCACAGCTCTTTATATACTTTTTAACACTATAGCAGTAGGTGCACCTGTTCATTCAGCATATATAGGTGTTGTCAACTTTTTTGACATTTTACATTGACTATGGAGGAGACTCTTGAGAATCCCCTGGACTGCAAGGAGAACAAACCTATCCATTCTGAAGGAAATCAAAGTGCTCACTGGAACGACAGATCCTGAAGCTGAGGCTCCAATACTTTGGCCATCTCATGAGAAGAGAAATCTGCCTAGGAAAGACCTTGATGTTAGGAAAGTGGGAAGGCAAGAGGAGAAGGGGAGGACAGAGGACGAGATGGTTGGAGAGTGTCATCGAAGCTACAACATGAATTTGACCCAACTCTGAGAGGCAGTGGAAACAGGAGGGCTTGGCGTGCTCTGGTCCATGGGGTCACGAAGAGTAGGACATGACTAAATGACTAAACAACAACAAAAATGTTTCTAAAAATATTTTCCATTATTTCCTATATAGACAGAAAGATTTTAGCTTCTAATGTTACTTAGCTTAGAGCTTGGGCAGTTAGTATTTAAAAGTAATTCGTTATGTAATCACGAGAAAGCATCCTTCCTCCTACAAGCAAAGTTTTGGGAAAATTTGAAGGCAAGAGAATGGGACGACAGCAGGCGAGATAGGTCACGAAGAGTAGGACATGACTAAACATGAATTTGACCAAACTCCGAGAGGCAGTGGAAGACAGGAGTTCCTGGCATGCTCTGGTCCATGAAGAGTCGGACACGACTTAACGACCAAACAACAACAACAAAATTTGACAAAATGATAGCAGAGTATTTCACAATATAACAGACTGATAACAGACACCATAACAGACACCAAAAGAGAACAGAATCAGACATCAAAGCAGAAGGACATGAAGAACTCTCTAGCCTAAGTACTTCATACTACCCTTGAACTACTCACCACTGAATATCTGGGGTAAACAACTTATACTTTCCTCCAGTCACATAGCTAGCCATGTTTCTAGTAATAGCCTTAGCACTGGGCATAGGGGGAAAATGATACATACTACACTAAGCATCCTCACCATGACAAATATCTTCCAAAATGGAACTGCAGTCATCCATATGAAAATGGCATCAAATTACGCACACAAAGTGCATAGATTAGTATAGTAGAATGCAATACAGTACTAGGTTTCACATGAGGAGATCCTGCATGGGAACAAAGCAGAACAAAAATAAATGAACATATGATGGAAGTCCATTAATGTTAGTTTGCATGCGATTTTGTCTCA